TTGGGAGGCTAAGGCGGGTGGATCACCTGAGGTCAGGAGTTTGAGACCAGCCTGGCCAACATGGTGAAACCCCGTCTCTACAAATATTAGCCAGGCATAATCCCAGCAACTCAAGTGGCTGAGGGGGTAGCCACTTGAACATGGGAGGTGGAGGTTGCAGTGAGCTGAGACCACACCATTGCACTCCAGCCTGGGCAACAAGAAGGAAACTCCATCTCAAAAGAAAAAAAAAAGAGAAATAAACTTCTACGTTATTTAAGATTCCATTATTTGAGCTTTTCTGTCACATGAAGGCAGCAGGAAGAAAAGCTAACCATAGAAGGGTCGGGCCCTAAGTACAGGGATTGTGGCCCAAGGTCCAATTTCCTCACCTCAGCCTGACAATTTCCACTAGATGATGCCACCACCACAGCTGAAGAAACACAACCAAACTCAACAGCTTGAAGCTCAAGTCTCCAGTAGACATATAACAAATGACAAGGAGCAAGGATATTATTAAGAAGCATTTACCCTAGAGAAAAGAAGTGAACTCTTCCCTCTAACATTAAGCTACAAGCAAAGGCTAGATCTTTTCCAGCCACCACGAAGAGACACCAATGGGCCCATTAGGTCTCAAGAGGAAAGAAAAGGAAGAGTTCGGAGCTCTGCCATTATTACCTCGGCTTCACTGCTATCTGGAGGGAGGCAAATGTGAGTGATGTTCAGACCAGCCTGAAAAAGGAACACAAGGTTATTTGTCACTATAAGAGAATGTATTGTTAAAAGTTACAATGAATTGTTAATAAGTCCTCACCTCCTCAGCCAAATTCTGGTTCATTTCCTGCATCAAGTTGTCGTCACCTGCCTTAGGAGAGTAAAAACAACATGACAACATAAAAACAGCTTGAAAAGGCACAAAAGTTGATCCAGAGATGACTTTTGTGATTACAGATGATCTAATTACAAAGATAATATGGAAAGTGCAGAAAAACAATCTTGCTACTTATAAAAAGGGACTTGTGGACAGCATTTAACTGAGGTCTTCAAATTATGCCACTTTTTTAAGGAAAATAATATCCTTCCTCTTAGAAGACATACATAGTAACATAGCCAGCTTCCCTCTCTGAAAATGAGGGCACCGACTGGGCACAGTGGCTCATGCCTATAATCTCAGCACTTTGGGAGGCTGAGGTGGTGGATTGCTTAAGCCCAGGAGTTTAAGACCAGCCTGGGCAACATGGTGAAATCCCATCTCTACAAAAAATACAAAAGTTAGACAGGCATGGTGGTAAATGCCTCCAGTTCCAGCGAATCAGGAGGCTGAAATGGGAGGATCGCTTGAGCCCAGCAGGTCAAGGTTTCGTTGAACCAAGATCATACCACTGCACTCCAGCCTGGGCAACAGAGCGAGACCCATCACAAAAAGAAAAAAAAAATGGAGACACCAAAGATAGGAGTTGAAATGGTTTGCCTTTAGATGGAAAGCCAGGGAGTCAGTAGATCCCCAGGAGGACCAAGCCCTGATCTAATTTTCTTTCTATTGTTCTAACTCTCCTTTCTTTGTAACGAGATGTGGGTACAGATCGCAGAGAACATAAGAAACTTGAGCACAGCTCTGTAATCCTGAAATACGCAGCACGATGGAACCAGAGGCTATTTTGATACGCTAAGTGCGTGCCAAGCCCCACAGTAGCAGCCCAACTGTCAGGCTGAGTTCGCTTCCAGGCTTGGCTCACCTCGTTATTTCTCGGCACCTGCCATCACACAAGTGTGCCAATCAGGATGGCAACCGGGGCCAACTGTGGCTCGGAACCAGGGCTGCTGCCAAAAGAAGTATGTGGAATGCAAAGTCCTTTTGATGGGATAATGACTTTTGGTCTGTCAAGTTTATGGCAGGCTTTAAAAGATAGAGTAGAAGAGATTACCAAATACCCATCTTTCATCTAGCATCTGCCTCCATTGAAACAAAGTGGGACTTTTTTCCCCAACACCATCAAATCACATTTGGTAAGCATTTGTGAGCACACATGGACCACGATGTATCCTTTGTAATGCAATGCATGTAGGTGCCTACCTCCTAGACCTTTGAAAACTACCCATACGTCAGAGGAAAATTCACAAAAGAAGACACGCTCAAGCAGAGCAGTACTTAACCCATGACCACAAAGAATCAAAAGACCAAAGAAAACAGCAGCATTGCTCACGGAGCCCTCTCTTCTTCTGCAAGAAACACGGCTGCTCTTTTGTATACAATCATTTTCTAAATTGAAAGGCGTCCTAAAATAGTAGGACTGAACCTTGTTCTCAGCTTACCTGGATAATTGCAAGAACTGGCTTGAAGGCAGGGTTTTTTTCTTGCAATAAACTCAGAACTTCTTTTGAACTCTGAATGACTTCTCTACATTGAGGGAAAAAAAATAACGCTGTGATTTCTTGGTTAATGAGCAGAAAGGACTGACACAACACATTTTCTCAGAAAGTTCGTTCCAAGTGAAAATAACTAGACCACAGAAGGACACACTCCAACGTACAGTGTGGAGCGGGGAGGCGGCGTAACCATCAAGACACTAACGCAAGGTAAAATTGGCAATCTAGTTTTTAAACTATGCAGAGGGAAACAAACTAGATGTATACAATCGTTTTCTAGGGGTGAATTTTTCTCTTGTATTTTCTAAGTGTACTATAATGAAAACTTTAGTTTTCTACTTCAAATAATCCCTCTCCTCGACCATACTCCCCCGCCATCCCCCCAAAACCCTGAGTTTGGGTCCATGAGGAAAGCAAATAAAGTGGGAAGAGGGAAGTGAAGACAGGGGATTGGGGGGTGAAGACAGGGGGCTCGCTGTTTTGGACAAGAAGTGTCGAGCCAGGACAAATTCCAGGTCCTGGAGCTTAAAAAAAGAATTAGGTAAGGAAGGAAGGGAAGGAAAGGAAAGTTCCAGAAACACTGGGGACCCATCATAATTGGATAACACGATCAAGGCCTCCAGGAGGCGTGGGGGCCGATGGGGGGGGGATGGTGGGGGGGAAAGGTGGGGGGGGCACTCAGTCCTCTGGGAATCCACAACACAGTCTGCACCTGTACTTCCTAAATGCCTAGCAGCAGTCACCTTCCCCCTCCGCCTCTGAGGGAGATGCCAGCCTGGGGTGAGCAGGCCTAGGTAAAAGTGATAGGAGGGGCCAGGCGCGTTGGCTCACGCCTGTAATCCCAGCACTTTGGGAGGCCGAAGTGAGCAGATCACCTGAGGTCAGGAGTTCAAGACCAGCCTGGCCAACATGGTGAATCCCCGTCTCTACAAAAATACAAAAATTAGCCGGGCATGATGGCGGGTGCCTGTAATCCCAGCCACTCAGGAGGCTGAAGCGGAAGAATCGCTTGAACCTGGGAGGTGGTGGTTGCAGTGAGCTGAGATGGTACCAATGCACTCCAGCCTGGGCAACAGAGTGAGACTCTGCCTAAAAAATCTTTTAGAATGTCTTCTCTTAAAAAAAAAAAAAAAAAAGTAGGAGGCCTGGCATGGTGGCATGCACCTATAGTCCCAGCACCTTGAGGTCAAGATGGGAGGACTGCTTGAGGCCAGGAGTTTGAGACCAGCCTGGGCAACATAATGAGATCCTGCCTCTATAAAAAATTCAGTGGGGCGTGGTGGCATGTGCCTGTGGTCCCAGATACTTGGGAGGCTGAAGTTGGAGGACTGCTTGAACCCATGAGTTTGAGGCTGTAGTAAGCTGTGACTGCACCACTGCACTCCAGCCTGGGTGGCAGAGCAAGACTCAATTTCTTGAATAAAAGAAAAAAGTGTTAGGAGCTCAACTCTTTCTGGAACTTTCTGGGATGAGTGACTGCAGAGGCTACCTTCGCCACCAGCCTATATGTTTTCAGCAGCATAAGAGCACTGGGAGCTGGATTCTTCCCCTCTCACAAAAGACCAAGGATGCAGCAGCAGCAGCCTCAAGGCTTCAGTGCCAAGGCCACCTTTACATTGTGTTTTCAGTCCCGACAGGGTCTGCACTGCACCTAACAAAAATGCAGAGTGAAGACGAGCCAGCCAATGCCGTCAATGGTACACTGCCAAGAGCAGAAATGCATCGGGAGGCTTCCCCCAGTTTTCAGAGAGACGGACTTGACAAATGAAACCAGAAGCGCTGCAGTTCCCAGGCGGGGCTTTGGAGGAGAGCATTGCTCAGACTCACAACCAGGACCAGCCTTTCTACCGCCAGCTGGGCGGGAACAGATGGACTGGGTGCAGGCAACTGTCAATGACCTGGGAACATTTCAGTTAGTTTTGTTTGGAAACACTTGGGATAAAGCTACTTCATTCCCAGGGAATTAATTGTATTATTGTGCTGAATAAATGCGACCATATGGGAAAGTTTACAAATCACCTTATAAATAAGCACTAAAATCCATCCATCCAATAATGGGTGACTGAGGCCCATATGCTGCACTCTTTCCAGCCTGTCGTGACTTTTAATTCGGCTATGCTGGGTTCTTATTTTTGCCTGGATCCAGGAAAGCACTGGCGTATGGGTCCCAAGCTGCTCATGCTATAAGGATCACTGGAGAGTTTGGTAAAAATAAAGGTTCCAGGCCAGGTGCAATGACTCACACCTGTAATCCCAACACTTCAGGAGGCCAAGGTGAATGGATCACCTGAGGTCAGGAGTTCCAAGACCATTCTGGCCAACATGGTGAAACTCTGTCTCTACAAAAAATATAAAAATTAGCCAGGCGTAATGGTACACGCCTATAATCCCAGCTACTCAGAAGGCTGAGGCAGAAGAATCACTTGAACTCAGGAGGCGGAGGCTGCAGTGAGCCAAGATCACACCACTGCACTCCAGCCTGGGTGACAGAGCAAGATTGTCTCAAAAGAAATAATGGCTCTGGTGTTTTACCCCAGAAAGTCTGATTCAGGATTTTCAGTAGAGCCCAGAAATGTACATTTTTAACAGAGTCCAGATAGTTCTGAGACATTAAGTGGAAACACGGCCCAGGACTGGTACTGGGCATTTCATTTACTAGCCTCAGGAACAGTCTCTAAGAGTCTCAGTTTCCTCATCAGTAAAACAGGTATACTGGCCAGGCACAGTGGCTCATGCCTGTAATCCCTGCACTTTTGGAGGCCAAGGCAGGTGGATCACCTGAGGTTAGGAGCTCCAGACCAGCCTGGCCAACATAATGAAACCCCATCTCTACTAAAAATACCCCCCCACAAAAAAAAAATTAGCTGGGCATGTTGGCACACACCTGTAATCCCAGCTACTCAGGAGGCTGAGGCAAAAGAATCACTTGAACCCAGGAGGCAGAGGTTGTAGTGAGCCAAGATCACACCACTGCATTCCAGCCTAGGCAACAGAGTGAGACTCTGTCTCAAAAAAACAAAACAAAACAAAACAAAACAAAACACATATACTACAGTGGTTCTTTTCCTTTTTCTTATAAATGTACATATTTGTTCGTTTTTCTGTGCCCCAGAGCTACCCTTAAACACTAAAACCATTCATACTAATAGCAATAATTTTCTCAGAAACATTCATAGTCTTGATCTATTCATAGTTGATGAAAGGAACACTTCTATAGGTAAGTCAGCAATCATCAAAAAGTAATTCAACTTTTAAAATAGTTGGGGATGGGGGCTAGGCACAGTGGCTCATGTCTGTACTCCTAGCACTTTGGGAGGCTGAGGTGAGTCACTTGAGCTCAGTAATTCAAGGCCACCTGGGCAAGATATCAAGACCTTGTCTCTACTCCCCCCCAAAAAAATAAGTTGGAGGATGGGGTGAGTGTGGATAGAAAAAAAAAATACAGGCATACATATTTCACTGTGTTTGCTTTATTGCAATTACAGATATTGTGTTTTTCTACAAATTGAAAGTCTGTGGCAACCTGTGTTTTGTTAAGTCTATGGGAGTCATTTTTCCAATGGCATCTGCTTACTTTGTGTCACATTTTGGTAATTCTTGCAATATTTCAAACTTATTCATTTTTAGTATGTTTGTTAGTAATCTGTGATTGATGATCTTTGATGTTACTATTGCAATTGTTTTGGGACCACAAACCCTGCCCATGATGGTTGGGCATCTTCTGACGGCTTCGCTGGACTGGCTCTTCCCCCTTCTCTCTCCCTCTCCTCTGGCCTCCCTATTCCCTGAGAAACAATATTGATATTAGGCCAATTAGTAACTACAATGGTCTCTAAGTATTCCAAGTGAAGAGTCACATGTCTCTCACTTTAAATAAAACGCTAGAAATGATTAAGCTTAGTGAGGAGGGCATGGTGAAAGCCAAGATAGGTCAAAAGCTAGGCCTCTTGTGCCAAGCTGTGAACGCAAAGGAAAAGCTATTGAAGAAAATTACAAATGCTCTACAATGGACACACAAATGATAAGAAAACAGCCTTATTAGGTGGGCACAGCAGCTCACGCCTGTAATCCTAGCACTTTGGGAGGCAAAGGCAGGTGGATCACCTGAGGTCAGGAGTTCCAGATCAGCCTAGTCAACATCATGAAACTCCATCTCTACTAAAAATACAAAATTAGCCGAGTGTGGTGGCATATGCCTGTAACTCCACCTACTCAGGTGGCCGAGGCAAGAGAATCACTTGAACCCAGGAGATGGAGATTGCAAGACTGCAGTGAGCCAAAATCAAGCCACTGCACTCCAGCCTGGGAGACAAGAGTGAAACTCCATCTCAAAAAAAAAAAGAAAAGAAAAAGAAAAAAGTTTATTGCTGATGTGGAGACAGTCTGTCTGAATGTCTGGAGAGATAATCAAATCAGCCCCAACATTCCTTTAAGCCAAAGCCTACTGTAGAGCAACCCCTTGATACTCTTCAATTCTATGAAGGCTGAGAGAGGCAAGGAAGCCACAGAATAAAAGGGTGCTGCTCACCAAGGTTGGTTCATCAAGTTTCAGCAAATAAGTCATCTCCATAACATAAAAGTTCAAGGTGAAGCAACAGGTGCTAATGTGGAACTGCAGTAAGTTATCCAGAAGAGCTAGCGAAGGTAACGTATGCAGGTGACAACACTCCACAGATGATCAACATGGATGAAACAGCCTTATTGGAAGAAGATGCCATTTAGGACTTTCATAACTAGCGGGAAGTCAATGTCTAGCTTCAAAGGACATGCTGACTGTTGTTAGAGGTTCGTGCGGCTGGTGACTTGAAGGTGAAGCCAATGCTCATTTACCATTCTGTAAGTCCTGGGGCCCTAAAGAATTATGCTGAATCTTGGCCAGCGCAGTGTCGCACGCCTGTAATCCCAGCATTTTGGGAGGCTGAGGTGGGCAAATCACCTGACGTCGGGAGTTCAAGACCAGCCTGACAAACATAGAAAAACCCCATCTCTACTAAAAATAAAAAATTAGCCAGGCATGGTGGCGCATGCCTG